TACTTTTTCCATATTGAGAGATGAAGATTGACTAATGGGTGGTGGACACAAATTGGGGAAAGTGATAATACTGACTCTGATACCATATTAGAAATTTAACCCAAAAGTCTGAATTGATATGTAGAGAGAGACTATATAAATATAAATAGCATTTAAGACTCATTGTCAAGCGATGTGAGACGCTATTTTAATATTGGAGATGATCTAGTGATATGGATCAGTATTAGTCACTAATATTTAAATTTACTAATTCGGCATCTTCCTGGGGTTAATATAAGATTTTGAATCCAATCTATTTTTTTTTTCAACCTAAATTGAGAAGACCTAGATTTGAAGAAATGCCCTTCAATTCATCATCCCGAGAAAATATACTTTGGATAAAAGTATATTTATATATCAGGTTAAATGGAAAATTATAATACTATAGAGATTTATGACCTTTAAGGAATTTTTTTGTTTTAATCATGATTTAGGAATTAAGCTTTTAAGATACAACAAACAAATAATTTAGTAACACTCTACGGCTTTTATGATTAAGCATGTGCTGTTGTTTAAGAAAACTCTGACATTCTCTGTCAGTTTCACAATAAATCAATGATTAGGAAAATATTCTTTTCAAAAATGATTGTTTGAACCACTTATAAAAATTAGTTAGCCAAAATTAAATTGATTATCAACAAAACTCTACGCGTAAACATTTTCTTTAATAATGAAAAATATTTTTTATTAATTTATTATTTTAAACAATACAAGCAATCATTTTTAGGAAACCAATTTCAAAATAGTTTTGAATGGGCAAATACAAATCATTAATTTGTTTTATCCCTTGCACTCCAAGGCGTCTTGGAGTGCAAGCACCCGTATAATATATCCTTACGCCAATCGAATAAATGTAATTTAACATCATTCTTGGGACGACTTTAAATTAATTTTGTATAATTTAAAAATTTCATAGCACAATCAAAAGAACTGTAGCGACATGGAATCTCTGCAATCATCATACTCCGACAATTATATGAGACTACGAGCTAAATACATTGAAGAACTATATAGTAATTCAATCATAAAGCCAAACAAACCGAGAAGGTTCAATTTGGTCCCCCCACCACCAAAGTTAGGTAAGTGATGGCACAAGTCTCGATAAGACTATAATGTGCCCCAAAAGAAAAATGATATTCACGTGGCACTATAGTTTTTTTTTTTTGGTTAAACATGTGGCACTATAGTTTATGTTTCGTTTAATTTATTTTCTTGTTTGATCAGCTTGCATTTGAATTCAAAAGGTCGAATAATACTATCCAAGACGGGACTTCCCTGTGACACCAGCTTTGCAATGAAATTTTCTTCCTCCACCTAACACCCACATAACATTGTGCGCGCACCCAGTTTCTCTTATCTCCTTCTCTTTTCAATTTATTAATTTCAATTCGTGTGTTTAATTATATAAAATTTTGGGTCTTGGTTCGAGGACAAGGGAAGAAAGATCGATTCCTGCTTTGAAGCCAGAGGCTCGAATTGGAGGAAGAAAGGGACAAGGGAAGAGAAAAGGAACCCGGCAGACAGATCATGATAATGAGATGATGCCAACCATGACCTCATCTAAGATGTTAACAGATGCAGTTGGTACAAAGATGAAGCAAGAAAAAGCAAACCCTCCCACTTATTTTATTTTATTTTATTTCTCTATTTTTCTTTTAGATTATAGGGAGTAAATAAAGTTTTTTGTCAGCTTTTAACGGTATGGATTTTCAAAGTTTTGGTGCACGCTTATGACTGGTCAAATCCCACGCACGAATATACCTTACTCAAGAAACGAAGCTCAAAAAATGATTTATAAAGGGATATGGTGAACTTTGTTCAAGAAACGTGAGTACTATTAGGGATATCGAAACGGGTTTATGATAAATGAATAATTACAAAGAGATGTGTCAAATTCTTGATGAGTACTTAAACAAGCGAACCATGTTCAAATGCCTGATAAATTTTTGGCAAGTTATTTTCGAAGCTAATTTTTAAGTTAATTTTCGTGGTTCAGGCATTATTATTACGATTATCTCTTTCTTTTAGATGCTCCAGAGAAGCAACGTTTGACAATGAGCTTATTGGATATGTATGAAGACTTTTTTTCTCTAGGTTTACTTCTTCGTGCACAACTCTATCCTCTCTGTACATGTGGATTTTTTACCAAAAACAAAAGAATTATTATTTTCTCTCATGTAGCAACTTGATAAGTTGCAACGTCGCACGATGTGACAATTAAAATTAATTTAAGTTGCCGGTTTAGGAACAGAATCATTTAACTTGCCAGAGAAGTGTGTTCTGGTGAAAAAAGGAAAAAGAAACATGTCCTAGTCCAAGGCTGTTTGATGTATATAGTATTAAGGCAGGCCATTCCAAGGTCGAACCCGAAGACAAGGAGAAGAACTAGAACATACATTTCTTTCGAGCTCTAGCTAGGGTTGATCAACTAGCTGTATAAAAATATGCATTCACGATTTTCTTACAGCTGTCTAATGTGTGTATGAGGATGATCACAAACGATAATCTCTCATATGTCCAAAATGAGGACCACAAACCTTTCAGTTGTTGTGTTAATAATATAGGGTATCAGAATCTTTCAACTCAACTAGTCTTCGTGAAACGTCGTGTAAGACCCATCTCATAAGATAAAATGTGTTTCTCCCGAAATTACTTGGAGCAAGAGTAATGGTGATTTGGACATTACTTGGACTACTAATCAATTCTTATCCCTTTTTTTTTCTTTATATGTTTATGTAAACCTAGTCGCTAGCTTCACTATTTGCATTTGGCGACCACGTCAGCATAGCAACTCTAGCAGCACCATATTGTCACTGTAAGATTTTGTGAGACCACTGCCTTCATCATTTACGCTGCAATTTGATCCCAGATGCTTTGTATGATATTAGACACATAAGATCTGGCTTGACAGCAAGTCGGAACTAAAATTTTGGTCTACTGGTACGACGATGAGTCAAACTCCATGATTGGAGAGGAAGGGGTTGTCTCTGAGAGGTGGTAATGGGGATGTTAGGCTTATGGAGGAGGGCGATAGTGACAATTAATACGCAGAGGAGGTGGTAGCGACGGCGGAGGACGAAAGGCGAATAGAGGAAGGATAGAGAGAAAGAAAGGGGCTGAGGTGGTATTATTTTTGGCCAAGTGCAAGATAAATTGGACAAATGCCACTTTGTAATAGAGGGAAAAAGTGTCAGAAAAGTCATAAACCTTTCGCATTAGTACCAATTTAGTCATAAATATTGTTTTAGTATCAATTTAGTCCGAAACCTTTTGAACTAGTGTCAATTTAGTCCTTCTGGCTAATTATGACAGAATTTTGCTGACGTGGACATCAATCAGCCTACATGGCACTGCTTGTGCTGAAATGGACAATATTAATAATATTTTAATATTTTTTTCGATATTTTAATTATTTTTTTTTTTCTTTCTTCCTCCCTTTGCCGGTGACCGGCCACCGGCCACAGGCGATGGTTGGCCACCAGCCATGGCCGGGCAAGCTACTCTCGCCTGGGCGAGGGTCGCCGTCACTCAACCAAGCCAGGTGAGGCCCAGAGTGGCCTAGGCGAACCCCGGCGAGGGCTCCTCTCAAGCAAGCCACGGCGGCCTCGCCAGGCGTCACCTTGGCGTGGGCGACACCCGGCGAGGCCGCCTTGGCCTGCGCGAGGGCCGGCCTAACCAGATCTGGCCTGGGTGAGTCTCGCGCTGGTCGGCGAGGTTCAACCCTCACTAGTTGCTAGCGGGGCTCGCCAGAGGCCCCCTAGCCTCCAGCGAGCCTCGCGCTAGCCGGTGAGGCTCGACCCTCGCCCAGCCATTGGCGAGGCTCACCGTCGCCGTCCCTGGCTAGGGCGAGCCTCGCTAGTGGCCGACGGGGCTCGCCAAAGGCCCCCTGGCCTCCAACCGGTCATCGCTGGCGACCAAGTGGAGGAAGAAAAAAAAATATAAAATTGAAAAATATTAAAATATTATTAAAAGTTGTCCACGTCATCACTGGTGATGTCACGTAGGCCAGCCGGCATCCACGTTAGCAAAATCCAGCTAAAATTAACCGGAAGAACTAAATTGGCACATAGATAAAAGGTTTATGACTGAATTAGTACCAAAAAAAGATTTAGAACTAAATTGGCATCAATGCAAAATGTTTAGAACTTTTCTGACACTTTTCCTTGTAATAGAGAGATAAATGGTTTACGTCAAGTGGGACATACTTGTTTAAAGGTTCGCTTGCAGTTTATGACTTAATAAAACAATTCTGCATATATGCATTACGAGACTTTTCCAAATTCTTTGAAAGCTCTGTCTAGACTGCAGTACAAACAAATGGTTCATAATAAAGCCAGATCACTTCTACTCGTTTTTGCCTGGAACTGTCGTTCCCTCTTTGCCATTTGTTTATTCATGGGTTGGTACCCACAGCATTAGATCAAAACGGATAAACCCGTTGTTTCTCCCTATGAATAAAATTAGATCTCATACCGTGCAGGCGGCACATGCTTAAATTTTTCCACCCTCCATCGTTATACCTCACGCTGAAAGAACCCCTGGAACCAACCTTCACTAAAATAAAACCCTGGTGACACCAGCAGGAAGAAACGAAGGTCTTAAAAGATGAACAATAGAATAAAAAAGTGAACTGGGAACCGACCAACTGTCATAAAAGAAATACCAAACATCCTGTACCAAACCAACCCTCCAGGCAAAAACCCTAAAAAAAAAAGGCCAGAATAGTACTTAAAGGATATGACCAAGATTTGGTGAAATGCGATGGAGATGCGCTCGCAGTTTAAACGGAGCTTTCAAAGGGTCTTTCGTGCGGGTTTGCGTTTCGCAAGTGCTAACCAAAGAGGCAAAAAAACAAAAAAGAAGAACAGTGGCTTTTGCTTGAAGAGCTGGAATCCAATCACTTTGCCACGTCACATCCTTCTCTCCCTCTATTAAAACCATTGCTCTCCAACCTCTCTCCAACCATTGAATCTCTCTCTCTCTCTCTCTCTCTCTCTCTCTCTCTCTCTCTCAAAGAACCAACCCAGAAGAATCAGTTTTAGAGGCCAAAAAGAGAAAAGAAAGTGTTAAGGAATGGAGGGACTGATTCCATTTGTGTACAGGGCAATTGTGCAGTACAGGAATGGGAACCAAGGGCCGCTCGCCACGTGGTTCCCCGAATCTCCGTCCGCTTCATACATGAGGCTTCCCGGTGATTCGGGTCGGTTTCAAGCCTCGGATCTCCATTTCTTCCGGCCCGACTGCGGTTTCATCAACGCGACGTTGCCTTCGGCAGCAACCAGCACGGCAACGACGGTGACCTCGACCACACAAGTGCTCGTGTCATCTGGCGTTCAGTCGCCGGTCTGTCGTTTAACCAACCGCCGCATGGTCGCATGAAGAAAAAGAAGAAGAAGAAGAAAATTCATGCAAAATCGAAGATGTTGCAAGACGAGTGTGGAGTACAGGGTTGTCAAGAAAATTGTGCATAGTTTCTTTGGTATGGTTTGGTGATTTTTCCTTTTTTATTTTGTGTCATAAGCTAAGTATTGTGGAAACCAAAGGGGCCACATGCTTGGTTACTTTCTCTTGTTGTCTTAATTACTGTGGATTGTGAAGGTAATCAAAGACGAAAGAAAGAAAAAGGAAGACAGAAACATAAGGCTTGTAGATACAACTCTTAAGGTTCGAGGAAAAGGTTCGTACAATGGCCGAAGGGCCAGCATGTCATATGTGACTACTCAACTATCTATTAATAACTATTCTTATTGTCTTGTCGTTTTTGGATGCTTACGGAAGACGCAATCTTTTCTTCCCAAGTGAAAAAGAGTTGTTCCTGCAACCAAAAAAATAAAAAAAGTTGCTTCCTGTTGCATTAGTTAAATGAAAGAATTAAGATTTATCGTGAAGTTGAGGCACTTAGCAGCGAAACACTCACGAGATTGACTCTCAAATTAACCTCAAACATAAATGTTATGGGTACTTTCCCAATTCTATACCAATGTTAGAATTGAGAAGATGTTTACTACGGTAAACATCGCGTGCCACATCATTAGCTGATTTGGAGTTTGATTTTCTATGGTAATACTTCGCCCGTCCATATGCTTTGTTGAGGACAATGAGTGGAGTTAGGATAGGTGGTTAAAACACATGACAAAAATGATATGAGCGCATGTGGATAGTTCGAAAACTTGTTTTGTTATGGTTAGGGCCGTGTTTTCCTTCGTCCTTTATTAGAAAGAAGCTTCCTCAAACTAGTTTCGTGATTGGTGGGTTATCGGTATGGACATCAACTATATTCATATTTTAATTAAGATCGGGTGTGAGTGATAGACCATAACTTATAACCCACCAATCATACGTATGATTAGCAAAAACTTCCTCCGATCAGGGAGCCATGAATATATAGCCTTGATGGTCGTTGACTCTTGGTTTCTTTAACAGAAAATTTGATTGCATCCAATGTGGGTCTCCCATGGAGATTAAAGAAGATAGGCAAAAAATTCAAAAAATAAGAAACGCTTTTTTCTATAGTTTATATAGCTTAAGAGTCAATCTGCCTACACGCCTTGCTTTTACTGCTATGTCGAGAGTTACTCCACGTATTGCTTTACATAAAATGGATAGTGGATTTGTTTCTGATAAGGGGGATCATTGCGGCTCGTAGCTAACGATCATGACACTTGCAACAGTCTCATCTAATAGTCACTGGGGATTAGAAATCATGGATTGGTTTTCCCCGGGCCAGGGGAACCGTAGATGATGGGCCGAAAAAGGATGGAATCAACAAGTCTATTCGCACATGTTCATCAAAATTCATCTCCCTCAAATCATCGGACACTCATCGGTCCTGACCCGAAGATTCCTCCATATCACAATAGTTATTATTCGCTCCTACATAAATTTTTTACCAAAAGATCTTCTAACAAAAGAAATAGTAGACCATCTTGATCATACGTCTACATTGGAGTAATCATGGAAATTGAGATCAAGCGAACCACCTCGCTTTTGAGTTTTTATACGAATTCTATGAATCACAAAAAAAAAAAAGAAGTAAAAACTATGGATGTGAAAAAAGAAGTTCTAATCGGGTTTAAAGTGATTTTATTATTTCGGTGTATATAACTACATAGGCGACCTCATATTGTTGAGAAAAGTAAAAGTATCTCAGAAAAATGACCTTTACGTTCCAATTTTGGTCACCTACAGGACATATCCGATCCTAAACACATCTTGTACCCTAAACCCCTACTAGACCCGACCCACCGCATCATTCGTACCAATTTGGCAATGCCTCTTTGTACATACCGTCCAAGCTCCGAAAGAGGAAAAATTGTCCAAAAGTCTTAAACCTATTGTACGGTGGTCAATTAAATCCTAAACCTTTCAATTATGTCAATTCAGCCCTAAACTTATTGTATAATGGCCAATTCAATCAAAAACCTTATAACTATACCAATTTGGTCATAAATCTTTTGACGATTTGTCAATTTAATCCTAAACCTTTTAATAATTTGTCAATGTAGTCCCTTGTCGATTTCTAGCCAAAATTACTTGAAAGGACTACATCGGCAAATCGTTAAAAGGTTAAGGATTAAATTGGCAAATTGTCAAAAAGTTTAGGATTAAATTTGCACAGTTAAAAGATTTAGGACTAAATTAGTTGCCGTACAACAAATTTATGACTAAATTGACATAATTGAAATGTTTATGACTGAATTGGCCGCCGTACAATAGATTTAGAACTTTTTGGACAAGTATCCCCCCAAATAATTCAAAATAAGAGTCTCGCATGTAAGGTTCATTTCCATGGTAGCAATAAATTCTACTTCTCTTTGAGATTAAGGAAACTGATAAAAACCACTTGCCTTTCCCAAGTGAAGTCAAACAGTTAGAGTGCAATACATTTGATAAAAAATCAGATGTACTATAAGAGGACAAAACATATTGATGTCAAGTGCTATTTTATACGTGAGATTGTGTCTCACGAAACCGAATATATTGGGAAACTTGCAAGAGTTTTGAGAGCTTTTGAAAACCGTCATCGAAAATAATTGAAAGTATGAGATACTCCTCTTTTGTGATTGATTCTTGTGGATTTGGGTCTATTTAGGAATTGGAAACACTTGAATGTAAGCATTTTGAGCGATTACGATCTTCTCTTTGTCAATTATATTGGAATCATTCTTGTCAATCTCTCGTGATGGAGTAGGTATGGCCCTAAACCACATAATATACCACATAATGGAATCCGAAAGCTTTTGAAAAATATATTCAAGTACTTTTGTTAGAATTTGCCTATGTGAAATCAGAGAATTAGGGACAACAGAAAAGATTTCATCGTAGTTTTTTTAAAAAGATTTAAAATTGATTGCACAAAGTAAAATGTTTAGTACTTGATTTCCTCAAAACGTATATATAGTTTATATTTTCCATAAATAAGCCAACTTACTTCCAAAAGTTTTTAAGTTATGTGACTCTTTTCACCAAGGTGCTTGTCTGCTTGATAGTCTTTGTCACACCCCAACTCAGCAAGAACAAGGAAATGACACGACCGTCCTTTCACCAAAGGATGCAGCATTAAGCATAATCAAAACTTAACCTAATATCAAAATATATATGTATATCTATTTGATAAAAAGTCATTTGGTTACAATATTAGAGTTTTCTATAATCCACCAACACAATTTATCCACATATCCAATAAACCATGAACTCAAGATTTCATTATAGCTATGTACAACACATACCAAAATATCCCCACTATCCAAAAGTCCTCCTAACGACGCTAACGCTCTTGTCCTATTTGTGGCTCGCTGAAGAACCTTAAAAGCAAGTAAGATGAAAAGAATGATGTCGCGACCGAACTCCCGAGCCCTTTTTTATCGAACATGCAAAAAAGGGGGGCTCGCCTGGTACGTGCTAAGTCTAGGTTCGGGACTTAACTCGGGCCCTCCCAAGCTTATACCATATCGCGACTTAGGGTTTAAGTATTTAACATGCAAGTGGTTTATACCAAGGAGTCGCCACTAATTGATTTGGGGTGGGCCGATTAGAAATCCAAATAGGGTGATGGGAGAATCACCCTATTCCTACGAACCAGAGATTAAATGAGTTCGGGGACTTGGTTACACTAGTTGGATAACTAATGCCCTTTCGGTACCATTTTACCCTGTTCATTTTTTAAAACATTTGTCAGGTAATTTGGATTGATTTTAGGACCTTTCTCCTAACATGTGAGGTGATCAAGCGAGTGCATAATCAGGAACGATCAGCAGTCAGAAACACAACAATTCATGCAGCCTAAGGTTCTAACCTTAACTAAGTCAGATGACATTCAAAACACAACAACTCATGCGATTGTATTAAAATCATGCATAATAATACAGCGATAATAAAAACTAACATGCAAAATATTACCGCGCAATTCTCAGGCTTGTCTAATTTAAACAAGACAAAAAAAATGTATAATAATACTACGATAAATTAAAAACTTAGATATAACATAATTTAAAAAAAAAAGATTTTTTTTAAAATTTTTTTTTCGAAAATAATAATAATAATAATAATAATAATAATAATAATACAGAAGAAGAAAAAGTAAAATTTTTTTAAAATTTTTTTAAATTTTTAATTAATTTTTTTTAAAATTTTTTTAAATAAAATAATAATGTAATATTAACCGGGTCGGATCGGCTGATCCGGGTCGGTTTGGACCGACCCGGGCATTGACCCGGGTCGGATCGGCTGATCCGGGTCGGAACCGACCCGGGTCAACGGGTCCGACCCAGGCATTGACTCGGGTCGGGTCGGCTGATCCGGGTCAGTCTGACCCGAATTCACAGACCCGCAGGGGGAGGCGCCAGCAGAGCCAAAATTGGCCATCCGCCGGCAGACCCAGACCGGCGCCGCCCCCAAATTGACCCCCTAGTACCACCATTAAGCTACACCACTCACCTGAGCCGACGTTCGCCGGCCGGCGACGAGACAAAAACCGGCCTCATTGAGGCATTTTGTCGAACACTGGGTGTGCGCGGTGGAAATCAGCCGATTTCGACCTCCTCCGACTGCACGGTCAGTTCCGACGGCTGCGGCTGACGTTCGACTGCGAGTGGGGACCGGGATCGGCGACGGCATGGGCTGGGAATCGCGCGACTTGGCCGGCGTGAGTCCCGGCCCGACCGCGTGCAAAAACAGGGGAGGACAGAGGTGACCGGGACCCGGGGATGCTCACCGGTCGACGGCGCGGCTGGGCGGCTTTCTGGCTATTCCGTGGGCGACGGCGATGCTGCTGGTTGTCCTTCCTGCTCCGGCGTGGCCTCGGTTTGCTCCCTCTCTCTCTCTATTCTCTCTCTTGTCTCTCAGTCTCTCTCCTCTCTGTTTCTCAATGAAAATGGCCGATCGGGACTCTCTCTCTCTGTGTCGCCGCCGTCGGCTCGGTGACGGGGATGGATGGCTGAGGCGCGGTGGCCGCCGGATGAGCTCTCCGTCTCTCTGTCTCGCTCCGTCTCTTCTTTCTCTCGGCTCACGCTCTCTCTCCCGCTGCTCTGTTTCTCTCTTTATATGGCCGACCGGGGGTGTTTCCAGGGGTTGCCGGTCGGCTTACTGGAGACGGCGAGACCGGCTGGGACCTGCGAGACGCTCCCAGGCTCCTCTCTCTTCTCTGTTTCACTCTAATTCTCTCTGGGTCTCTCTCGGACTCTCTGTTTTCTCTCAAAAATTGGCCGACCGTGGCTCTCTCTCTCTCTCTCTCTCTCTCTCTCTCTCTCTCTCTCTCTCTCTCTCTCTCTCTC